GTGCTGATGGTTTCGACATTTATGAAACGTTCACTTTCGAGAGCGACGAAGAACGAGATGACATCAACATAGTGCTAAAAAAGTTTGATATATATTTCGGAGTAAAAATTAATATAACGTTGGCGAGATATAACTTTTTTAGTCGTAACCAAGAACAGGGCGAGACTATTAGTCAATATGTAGTGGCGTTAAGGCTACTGAGTAAAAACTGTGCTTTCGCATCGTTGGAGGAGGAATTGATTCGCGATCGCATAGTATGTGGAATTCGAAGCGGGGTCGTGCGGGATCGCCTATTGAGAGCGGAAGACCTGACCCTAGACAAAGCGATCAAGATCTGTGAAGCGGACGAGGTATCCGCCGACAGCAGTCGGTGCCTGGAGGCGCGCGACGCCTGCGTGGCCGCGGTGGCGGTGCGCGGGGCCGGCGGCGCGGGCGGCGGGGCCGGCCGGCGGCCGCGCGGCGGTGGCTACGGTCGCGGGCGCTCGCGGGGCCGAGTGGCGCCCGCGCATATGCAAGTGCAGTGTCGCGGATGTGGTCGGAAATGCATGCCCGGGGCGTGCCCGGCGCAAAGTGTACAGTGTTTTATGTGTCATAACTACGGTCATTTCGCGAGAATGTGTGAGTCAGTAAGTGTAAAAAATGTATGACATTGACATGTATGATGAAGCCGCGAACGGTGAGGAGCAGGATGACTGTGAGTTGTTTTTATTTCTATGCTAACCGATGTGTCCGTGGCTAAGAACACGACGACTACGGCATCTCGTGACGAATGGTACGAACTTTTAAATGTGACGGTGGTACCGAGAAATTCAAACTAGATTCGGGAGCCGATATAAATGTGTTATCATATGAGCGATTTAAATCCTTAGGGTTTGTTGATTCGATCTTGGAAAATAGAAATAACATAAAATTACAATCTTATAGTGGAAATATTATACCTATAAGAGGAGTATGTAAATTAAGATGGTATCATAAAAGTTACAAATATGACTTGTTTTTTTGCTATTGCTAACATACTTTGTGAAAGTGTGCTGGGCCGTCAGACGTGCATAAATCTGGGATTAATTATGCGTTGTGATAGTGTTCGCATAAACGATTATAATGATTTATTTGAAGGTTTGGGCTGTTTACCGGGTGAATACCATATCGTAGTAAATAGTTGTGTCCAGCCGGTGGTGAGCGCGCCGCGTAAGGTACCTCTAGCGTTGCGGGATAAATTAAGGACTGAATTAGACAGAATGACAGGACTGGGGGTTATAAGAAAGGTCAGTCACCCCACACCTTGGGTAAATTCAGTAGTGATAGTGGCGAAAAAAATGGCGATTTGAGAATTTGTTTAGATCCGCGGCCTTTAAATTGTGCTATTCAGAGGGCTCACTTTCAGTTACCAACGGTTACGGAAATAGCTACGAAATTACAAGGTGCAATTTACTTCTCAGTTCTTGATGCCAATTCTGGTTTTTGGGCGATAAAACTAGATGAACCAAGCGCTGATTTATGTACTTTTAGTTCGCCTTTCGGGCGTTATCAATATACTAGATTACCGTATGGTTTAAACTGCGCGCCAGAGGTGTTCCATGCAACGGTAAAACAGCTGTTAGAAGGCTTAGACGGTGTGGATTCTTTTGTCGATGACATTATCTGTTGGGGGCGGACAGAACAAGAGCATGATGATAGGTTACAAGCATTATTAGAGAGAGCACGTAAAATAAATTTAAAATTTAATAAAAATAAGTGTAAAATATGTGTACAGGAAGTCACATACTTAGGACATATTTTTAATAAAGACGGAATGAAACCGGACTGCTCCAAGGTCACAGCGATCAAAGAGATGCCCGTCCCTACTGACAAAAAATCGTTAGAAAGATTTTTAGGGGCAGTAAACTATTTGTCCAAATTTATACCAAATTATTCGGATAGAACATTTCCATTGACCGGTCTGCTGAAGAAAGATATTGAATGGATGTGGGGAGTAGCCATCAGCGCGCGGTTGATGAATTGAAACATTTAATTAGCGTCGCGCCCGTGCTGGCGCTGTACGACGTGCGCGCACCCGTCGTGGTGTCGGTGGACGCGAGCGCGGTGGCGCTGGGCGCCGTGTTGTTACAGGCGGGCCGCCCCGTCAGTATGCCTCGCGCACACTTACAGACACCCAGTCCCGGTATGCGCAGATCGAAAAAGAATTGCTAGCAATCGTGTTCGCTTGTGAGAAGTACCACCAGTATATTTATGGTAAGAAAAAATGTAATTATCGAAACTGACCACAAACCATTAGAAAATATATTTAAAAAACCATTGCAATCGGTCCCAGCACGCTTGCAACGTATGTTGCTACGACTTCAGGGTTACGATTTGAATGTTACTTATAAGCCGGGTAAATATATGTATCTTGCTGACACACTGTCGCGCGCGCCTCTGTCGATTCCTTATGATGATGCAGTTAGTAGAGGTAATTCATACCAAATTAACCTATTAATGAGTCAAGTCAAAATGTCACAAAATAAATTGCAACTCGTGAGGGACGAGACTGAAAAGTGTGAAGTTTTAAGTCAGCTAATGAAATACATAAATGCGGGATGGCCGTCTAATAAATATGACGTAATAGAAAATTTAAAATTCTACTGGTCTATTAAAGAAGATCTATTTATAGTTGATGGTGTAATTTTTAAAAGTAACTTAGTGATAATTCCGGATTCATTAAAAACAGAAATGTTAAAAATAATTCATGACGGCCATCTTGGAATTGATCGATGTAAGAGGCGAGCACGAGAGGTATTGTTTTGGCCGGGAATAACAAAAGATATTGAACTTTATGTGAAGAGATGTGCAGTGTGCCAGGAATATTCAAACGCGCCGGCCCGGGAACCAATGTTGCCCGTTGAGATTCCTGTATTACCTTGGAATAAAGTAGGTGCAGATCTTTTCGAATTGTCAAAAAAATATTACATAATAGTTGTAGATTATTATTCCAATTTTATTGAAGTCTCAAAATTAAATAATATTTCATCTTTGTCCGTTATACAGGCTATGAAAGAGATTTTTGCTAGACATGGCATACCAGAAGTGTTAGTTAGTGACAATGGTACACAGTTCACTAGTAGAGAATTTAAAAAATTTGCCTCAGAATGGGGATTTGACCAAATCACGACTTCGCCAAATTATGCACAAGCAAATGGCAAAAGCGAACGCGCTGTACAAACAGTAAAGCATATTTTAAAGAAATCGATTACTAGTGGATCAGATTTTTATCTAAATTTGTTAAGTTACCGTAATACGCCGCGTGACAGTTTGAGTTCTCCTGCACAAATGCTGATGGGACGTAGACTTAAATGTAGGTTGCCTGTGCATCCTGATGTATTAAAGCCAAAAGTGATAAGTCCTGTACAACATGATGTTTTGATAGAAAAACAAATAAAAAGTAAACAATATTATGATACTCACAGTAAAATATTGCCTAAATTAAAGTCAGGAGATAATGTAATAATAATTGATAAAAACCGTAGAATGCGTGGTCAAATATTATCTGAATCATATACTCCGCGTTCCTATTTAATAAAAAATAGAATGGGAATATATCGCCGTAATCGTAGGCATTTGCTTAAATGTAATACTTATAATGACACAAACTATTTAAATAATACCTGTAAAAAGAATAAGCGACACAAAATAGGACTCTCAGATCAAAGTCTAGATACTGCTGACCATTTGATGGATATATATAAATCTCCTTGTAGTATAAAGAATAATAGCAGTGAGTCTACTCCTACTGAAAGTCCTGTTGTCGAATCCCACTCACCGATGATAACTACTAGAAATAAAAATATTTTCTCAAAAATTTTTGATTTTCAGTGAGATTAAATTAGTTTGTGTTTATTTTATAATAAGTTGGTTTGTTTTTTTTTACTGTATTAAAATCTAGTTTTATAAATATTTGTTGCATTAATTAGTTTAAGTTATGTTACACTTTTTAAGTTATGTAATGTTAAAAAAAACTGTTTTTTTTTATTTTTAATTTATTTTGTATTATGGGGGAAGATGTTGTGGGTAGTATACTTATTACTATGTCGACGGTAGTACAATAGTTATACCATTAAAGCAGTTGCCATCTTGACCTCTCGTTTACTTTACACAACAGTATCTATTACTAAATAAACTGAATTAATATGTAAGAAGAATTAATTAGTAAATTTATGTTATAGTAATTTCATCTTCCTGTCCTTATCCCAATTATTTGTTACTCATATTACTTAAGGTTTTGGCTTTTAGTTGTACAATCGGCCAGCATCCTGACATCAACCCTCTAGGAATAATATAATAAAAAAATATGGTCATTATTAGCACTTTGATAATTAAGATAAATAACGTTATTTAAAAAAATCCAATAAGTAGTCTCAGTTAAGTAGAAACATATCACATTATTAATTAAAATATTACAAGGATCAAAATGGTTCATACTAAATCCACACCGATTGAGCTACACGGTTATTTGCGTCTGTGTGCGTGTATTACTGTATGTGTGCGTAAATCCATGCGATTAAACCTAAAGTTGAGCGGCATCATTTTGTAAAAGGCCTCTTAAAAGAACAACACGTAAGTTACTTGCATGTTCTTCTTGTGATGTTTGTTCATGACGAATTAGTGATGTAATAAAAGAAAAATTAAAAGTGCTACAATATAAGTAAATAAGATAAAAATGTACAATTTATGTATTATAGAATATAAATAATCTTTATTCAAATATTAAGTTTATTTCAATAAAGATTATTTCTATTCTATCTTAATAATATTATAAACGCGAAAGTTTGTAAGTATGTATGTTTGTTACTCTTTCAAAAACTACTGAAACAATTTTGATGAAACTTTACAGTAATATAGCTTATGTATCAGAATAACATATAGGCTATATTTTTTATTGAAATTTAATGCGCGTGAAACAGCTTGTAATACATAAATTGTAACAGTTATAGCTAAAACAACCGTTACCACTTCAAAGCACTCACCGTTTCTGGTGGCAGGTATATAGATGGTACCCTTTTCTCAACCACATCCAAGGATTTGCAGAGGAACCTGTCGAACTGGTGGATAGGCCCCTCGAACAGCATCACCGCCGGTAGAGCCAACTGCGCACCGGTTGCCAGTGACTTCTCGCCCAGGTTAAGATACCAGCGGAAAAGGCGATTCGATTCCTGTGCAGACATTTTCACTTTCAAATTTTAATGTTTCATGCAAATATATAGTAAAAACTCTAAAGTATGGAAATTTAATCTATATTAAAAGTTTATAAATGTATTTGTTGTTTATGCGACGGCCGTGGTGTAGCGATTTAGCACACCGCTTTATTTCCGAAGGTCGCGGATTTGATTCCTCGCACGGTACAAATATATGTATTCATGAGTATAATTGTTTGTAGTCTATAGATCTGATTATTTTCTATATATAATGTTTTCTATATTTCAGGAATAGATACAATGATTTATAAGGATGGTTTTATAAGTATAACATTCAGAAAAGCCTAAAAATTCAATATTAGTATATACATTGCATCCGTGCAAAGCTGGGGCATGTCGCTAGCAGCTTATAAAGCAAGCCGCTTGATTTTTTTCGGACTACTCTAATGCTGTTGGCCGCAGCTGGCCTTCAGATTCACCGGACGATAGGAGGCAAGTGCAGATGGCACTGCAAACTCGCGGGAGGCCTTATGGAGCGGCTGTAGGCCAACTCCCCCTAACGGATACGAGTTCAGATGATGACCGTGTGACCGTGTTACCCTCATGTATATCTGATGGCATTGCTAGAGGTTTGAACCTCGGCTCAGGCCGTTGTAATTTCTCCGTTTGAATTGGACTGGTGATCGACCGAAAGCGTAGTCGCTTGGTGGCTGAAATAGATGATGTCATTATGCAAGCAGACTCATTGTTCACCGAACATCATAAGTGTGCATGAAAATACTGATAAGCTGATAGGAAATCCTGTTGTATCTCTGCAATATACCACGATAACACTTTTACTATTTAGGGCTCCGTATCAAAACCATTTATGGTAACATTGTTCGTCCATTTTTTTTTCTTATCGTCCATTTAACACACTGTTACATTTCAAAAGCTAATGATAGTATCGATTTGATATCTATATATATAAATAAAATTGGAGTGTCTGTTTCTAATATTGAAATACCCGTTTTACTACATGCATATGAACATAAATACGGTACATACACCACAATAACATTTTTTACAATTTTTGTCTGTCTGTTTGTTCCGGCTAATCTCTGAAATGGCAGGACCTATTTTGACGGGACTTAATAAGGAGTAACTTAGGCTACTTTTATTTTAGAAAATAAAGTTAAATTCCACGCGGACAAAGTTGCGGGTTCAACTAGTTATAAATAGAATTAAAAAAGGTCGAAGTTCAAAATTCTTTAATAGTGGGTACAGTTGGCTAAAATAGGATTTTATGAGAAAGGAGTTTGTTTTTAAATAAAAATCTATATATCTCTATACCTACATGGAGGTCTATAACAGACTCTTATATTATGTAAGGTTCGATTCCTCACACGGTACAAACATTCATGAGTATGATTGTTTGTATCGGTCTTGGTGTTTTCTATGTATAATATGTATGTATCAACGAAAAAAAAATACATGTATTTGTATCGGTTATCTAGAATCCATAACACAAGCTTTAGCTACCTTAACTTGGGTCTAGACGGCGCTGTGTGAATTGTCCTGAGATTATTACTTTTCTTCTCGACTTTCACCGGTATTTTTGCTATATACAGCCAAATACATAACAATGTTATATTTTTACGTGTATATACTATGAAAATCGACCTGATCTGATTGAAGAAATTTTCTGATTATGCAGCATATTAGAATTACAGTCTTCTGTAGTTGACAGTATATACTAGGTGGTAGGTTCAGAATATTTATTAATTGATCTTTTTTGATAAGACACCTGTAGTTGTGAGGATGATTAGGACTATTGTTACTTTTTGTAAGTGCCAGAGTCGATTATCATTCTTTTTTTTAAATTTCACAAAACCCATATACATCCTGACAATAGAAAACACTACAAAAAAGAATTAGCTGAAATCCATTCAGTCGTTCACGAGTCTTGTCGTGACCAATAGAAACAAGAACTCGTTTTTATATATATAGATAAGCAGCTATAATCTACCTATAGTAATTATCTTGATAAGCCATTCTAGATTACCGCTGTATCGTTTATTTTATCTATAATTATATGAAGAATGACTATATATATGTTTGCAACTTGAACCATGTCCTTGTATGTTATCTTCATTTGATTCATGTACGGGGTTAGTTGTATGGACATTTTAATCATTGATTATGTGATATGTATTAAAATTGATTAACCTTCACCGAGGTAGATAATCAGAATACTAAAATCGACACGGAGCAAAGAATGTTTAAGTAGATGCCGTAGTTCCGGAGTAAAAATAATTCACACAGCGCTGTCTAGGCTCAAGCTTAGCGTGAGGTTGTATTTGTTGTAGAAGGAGTAATGTTGTGACAGTTTGTGCAATTATGCTTAGATTGGTAAGTTAGAGAATAAAGGAAGACGTTCTGAAGTTGGCTGTTTAATTTAGAATCCTATATAATCTTAAAATGTAACACATCATCTTACAGTATTATTCTAGAGTCTAGTATGATACAAACTTTGCTTAGCTTAATATTGTATTTAATTATATCTATCAAAAGTCTAACAGCTAGACTTTTCGTAAATACATCCATAATATACATAGAAACCACCCATACTCAAGAATATTTTTTTTGTATCGTACGGGGAAAAGAACCTGCTATCGAATCATCGAAAGTAAAGCGGAGTGCTAAACTGTTAGCAGACCATCGACGTCCTCAAGTTCCGGACCATAGAATTTTCTTTAGCATCATCAAAAACTTTAATTTTCTTTAATTCCGCCACTATTGCCATAAATATACAGTGAGGATACCTGACCACCGGAAGCATTAAACCTCCTCTATTGGTGATCAAATTCCGGCTGTTAGTGATCTATTGTAACACGTGTTGACTTGACCGAGACATCATCAGGCAATAAAGCGAGAGTATAAATTGAAAGCCTAGTGTTGATTCTTCAGACACCAACCAAAAATCGTAAATTCTAGCCTAATAGCCAGGGCTGGCTAACCCACCTGACTATCGTCATCTTATCAACCTGCATTAAAACATTATTATCAGATGGGTCGTCACCTTGTTTGTATACTCAAATAGGCCAAGTGAACCGTCAATTTGTTTTCTATAGTTACACTAGCTGACTCGGGAGGGAAGGGGGTTGTCAGTAATGTGGATTGATAACTCAATTGCTAGCAATGTACCATGTCAGGTCAACCTCCACGCGGTTCCCCCTGGAAACCATCGTGTTAAATTCCTGGTGAATTTGTCACGATGGGCCAACTGACCTGACCTCATGCACTTCTTATCATCCTCCACTGGTGCCCAGCCAGTGTAACCGTTAGCGCAGGCGGGTGGACCATGTCATTATCATATAGAAAAAGAAACTAGCTGATTCGGCAAACGTTGTTTTGCCATATAACTTAATATCGCAATTAAAAATAGGGGTTGGTGGTTGAAGGTTGAAAATTTAAGGCTGTGTGTATATGTTAATGCCATATAATAAAATTTTAAAAATATAAAAATTTGCCGAAAAAATGATTAACACTTAGGGGTATAAAAATTAGTTATAAACCTATTCTCAGACCTACTGAATATACATATAAAATTTAATCAAAATGGGTCAAGCCGTTTCCGAGGAGTGTTTATACTCCTGTAAGAAACCTGTGACACGGGAATTTTATATATTAGATAAAAAAAACTATTCTTCGACGATATTTACTTACCTTTATCTTGTGGTACAGCCTCTCGGTGACTACGATGCTGGAGCCGACTATGGGAATTGCGGCCACCCTCGACACCGCCTCCAGTTTTAGCGATCTCTGTTTGGTCACTGTTGAACAAACAAACACAAATAGTTGATTATTTTGCAATAACTGCAGCTGTTTTTTTCTCAGATTAGTCTTCTACTTTCGATTCTATGGCAATTGTACTTTTCTCAGAGTATAATTGAGATTGAGTATAATTGTAGCACTCCCTATGGTTGATTGGTAGAAAATACCGCATGGTGTTAAGTCCGTCAAATATACTGTTACTTTTTGTATTGTGTGCATTAAATATATATATTTTTTTTTTTATCGTATCAGATCTTATATTGCAGAAGTCCATTGGATTAACTAAGTCCCCTCCGATTGATCCCCCGCCCAATTCAAACGGGGATCGATATTACGACGGCCTGAGCCGAGGTTCGAACCCCTAATGGTGCCCTTAGCCTAAAGTCGTTTCCGTCAGGCAGGAGCTGACCTTCAGCCGCTCCATAAGTCCTTCCGCAGGTTTGGAGTGCCATCTGCACTCGCCCCTAACGTTCGGTGAAGCTGTAAAGGCCAGCTGCGGCCAACAGCATTAGAGTAGTCCAAAAAAAAAACTTATTTAACGAGATTATATGGTTTATAATATTTTGTTTACATTTTAGCGGAATTAAACAAAATATAAAAAATATAAATATTTAAATAGAAACATATCCTTCAAATTTAATTTCTATGATTAAAAAAAGGGATTACTTAGTGTATCGCTTGTTGAGAAGTAAATCTCATATTGGTATTTCTAGATAGGATATAAAACTGGTTGGTGGTTCTCTAAAAATAAATTAATTTTGTTTATAAATTCAATAATATTATGATGATAAAAGAAGAATGCGCTTTGTTAATACTAGTAGTAATTTTAATAGTAGTAGTAGTAGAAAATTAGAACAGTCAACAGCATTAGAAGTTATTCTAATTAGATATATAATATCCACGATGCCTCTACGTTTCTCAAGAGGTATAAAGTGGTGGTTTTTAAGGATTTTTTTAGGATCACTATAATGCTGTTGGCCGCAGCTGGCCTTTACAGCTTCACCGGACGATAGGGGGCGAGTGCAGTGGTACTCCAAACCAAGGAAGGACTTATGGAGCGGCTGAAGGCCAACTCCCGCCTGACGGATACAAGTTCAGATGACGACCGCATACTTCATGTATATTTGTATATAGACGATATTTGTCAGTTAGGTACCACATAAGGTGTGTCGTCAGTTTGTCTGTCATTCCATTTTCATAAAAAGAAACAAAGAGTTAATTCATTTGAACAAAAAAATGGACCATCAAAAATAATTTATCTATAAAATAATTATACTTTTTGGTCTGTTAATAATTCATCTTGATTGGAACATCCCATTCATAATAACGAAATATTCTTCTATCAACCTTCTATTACTATTGCATAATTGTAAGCAATTATTTTATATTATATACTATGAAATTTATAGCCTATATCTTATTCTTATGTATAAGCTATATTACTGTAAAGTTCCATCAAAATCCGTTCCGTAGTTTTTACGTGTGAGAGTAACAAACATCCTTCCATCCATCTATACTCACAAACTTTCGCGATTATAATATTAATAATTAATTAATGAGATAAGATTTTGAAATTTACAAATATATATTATACATTGGACCCCGGAACTAGGCGAAACAGTGTCGCGGGAGTCCACAAAAGAATTGCCAGATGTAATTAACTATTACCCCGAAAATATCGAAATAAAAAAACCATTACAGATAAGTAAGTAATAGTAGATTTGACATATCATAAGAGTCTGATTGTATATAAATTTTGAAGATTTCATCCATATAAACAAACCCATTAGTTTTAGAACAAAATTATTTTTGCATGATACTCCAAGAACTCTGTTTGAGGTGAATTGATTTATATTATATTTGTTATGGTACATAAATTATATATGTACAAAATGCCTTTTCTTAAGATATTTTATTAATAGTAACGAAAGCCAATCGGCGACGAACAATCTTTTTTTATTAAAAAGACTGTTCGCTTTATTAGCGGCCAGTCATATTTTTTGACAGCATTAGTGCATTTCTCGATCCGAAAATGAAGCCAATAGCTGATTATATGTCTATGTAGCCTATCAGTCGAGTAAACTATAAGTATATTGAAGGTAAATTAAAATCTACTAACACAACGACCAGGTGTCAACCCTTGAAACGTAGTATTAATTTATTCAGTGTTATTAATCTTGTAGTATTCTTTTTCAACTACCTACATATCTATTAATGAAGAAAGTAGTAGTAGTACATATTCATATAAAGTTAAATAATTGTTTTTGATGTCACATGTAAATTGTATTCGAAATTCAAATTGTACATCCGAAATGGACAAAAAAGTTTTTATATTTTCTAGACTATATAACATAATTGTTATATTTATTTTTAAAACATCCAGAAATTATAAATTTTATAGACTTCTATATATAGAATCTAGAAACTCACCCTTTTGCGGTGGGCCCTGGCTTTGACTAACAGCTTGTAAATAGGCTTCAGCTTTCTTCGCAATAGAACCTTGTGCTCTTTTGTTAACTCCAAATGTACCATTAAAAGATTTTTTGACAACATCACCATTTCCCGCCATATTACCCGTCACAGTTATTTTGGCGCGATATTCAAACGTCATTCAAGTTTTTTAAAAAATAATTTATGATTTTTTTTATTGTGCAATAATTGCGTTTGAATAAGATGTTTACTCTAAATTTCCACGGGAACGACTGATTGTCGCTCGCGTTTTACTTTATTTATTGGTAAAGGTTATCTGCTGGTTTTAAACAGTAAGACGATTTACTCATATCTCAGTAATGAGACAATATTCAAGTACAAATTGGAGAATTAGGTCATCGATCAATTTAGACATGAGACATATTTAGGTACCTATATAGGTAGATATTTACATACATTAAACAATCGCAGCTCGATTGGCGAATACTAACGCATTATAATGGCAACACTGTTATCAATATATGTACCAAAAGCCAAGATCTGCGTCCAAATAAAAAAGTTATAGTTCAAATCATTGAGCAAATAATCACTACGTTTCACTCATCATCTGCTTCTTCCTTATCTCATTTATTTGGAGTGGGCGTAATATGTTTTTCTCTTAATTTGATCCCTGTTCGCAGTCACCTCGTTATTTACTTCCTTTCTTACTACATCATCTTTCTTGCAGTCCATCCATCTCTTCAAAATAATCACTATGTTTAACTAATTATACAATTTGAAACTGTCCCCATTTAAAATATAATTATATATTATGGAAATAATAAACGGTATTTTTTTTATTTATGTATATTGTGAAATTGAATAACAAAACTAAATTTTCAACATACCTACCTAGTACACAAATAAAATCAAATAAACTCATTCAAATTAAGAACTCAGTAAAGACCGTTAACAAGTCCTTACCGGACTAAAAAGAAGATAAAGAGAGAGATAAAACCATCGCTTCTAATTATCATTCTATTCTTGTCCCTGGCGGGTCTAGGTAGCGATCTTTTAAAAGCGGCGAGCACAATAGATCTATGCAGGTCGCAGTGCTATAGATTTCAGCACCTGACAATCTAAATATATATAACTCAAAGGTGACTGGCTGACATAGTGATCTATCAATGCACAGCCCAAACCACTGGACGGATCGGGCTGAAATTTTGGCATGCAGGTAGATGTTATGACGTAGGCACCCGCTAAGAAAGGATTTTGATTAATTCTACCTCAAGGGGATAAAATACGGGATGAAACTTTGTCAATTTTAAACAGATCGGGCTGAGACTTTGCATGCATAAAGCTACTATGACGTAGGCATCCCCTAACAAAGGATTTTGATAAATTCCACCCCTAAGGGGATAAATTAACGCGAGCGAAGCCGAGGGCAAAACCTAGTAGAATAATAAGACGTAGAATGAAATGAGGTTCTACTAATAATATGATTTTACATTTTTGCCTTCAATAATTACGGCTAGATTATATTATTTTACTAAGGAGTTTTGGCGCGATATCTGCCTCTCAGTTTCATCATCATCATCATTCGTTATTTGATGATAAAGCTGAGGCTATTGGGACTATTCTAGTGACTAAGTATAACGTGATCCAACTGTCACATCTTTTAATACTGGCAGATAATAAATTTATAGTTTTTATTTTTTGTTTCTTTATTTGATTTTGTAATTATGATTGCAAATTGTCGATCACAAGAGGTGTTAAAATAATGTTTTTAGGATTAATTTTTACATTCAAATAAAGTTTTATTTATGCAGTCCACTTTTAATTCCTTATACAGACTAAATATCGTTGAACAGGACCGTCTTTCACCTATTAGAGACCCTGGGCTCATTAGGATAATGACGCTCCTATGACCATAGTAATAAAGCACTATTTCGTTAGAATAGACAAAGTCATTTTACCCTACATTCAGAACAATACAGGTAAAAATAATTAAAAAAAAATGGTCATGTGATGAGAGGTTCGAGTTCTTGCTAGACATTTATAAAAAGATTAACAAAAACAAACAAATTGACCATAGTCCGTAAGCATATGTTAAGACTGATTTTCAGGCGAGAGTAAAGTAGCTATCGGTTACCGTTTGGTAATGGAGTAGAGACTAGACTAGATTAGGGGGCCCCAATCCATCGCGGGGCTCTAAGCACGTGTCCAGTGGGAAAGAAGGGCCTTTCATTGAAAGGCATAATTTGATTTTAAAAAGTTGCAATTCAAGTAAAAAAAAGAAGGTTATAGGTTTTAAAATACGCATTTCATGAAATATCCATCTCCAAATCAACAAAGGTTTATTTTTTTTATAAGGATATATATAAAAGAAATAAACCCTAATTTAAAAATGACGGCTATAGTATTAAGTGTTAAAAAGAAGCAATTAGATCTGCTACTTTCATTTGAAATCGATTAAAACATGTCGTTCTGACCTCAATTGATTTGTAACTCAGATGGGTGTTATGTACGAGAGTATTATTGTAATTATTATACAATAGATATGTCTACAGCTACATCCGGTAACCTA